GGGGGGCAGCAGGGTCATCCAAGAGCCTCCCGCAAGCAACTCACTGGAGCGGAAGGCAGTGGGGGCAGAGATGCTCAGCCTCAGGGATGAGTTAGAATAGCCTGTGAGCTGGTAAAAATCCCTGCCAGGAACAAGAAGTCAGCCCCGTCACTGCCCAAAGGCATCAACCTCTAGAGGACTCAGTCCCTTGGAAAGCTCTCCGGGCTGTCAAGGAACAGGAAGACTAAGCACAGATTCCCTGCTTCAGAAGCCCCAGAGAAACGCCCAGAACCTCTGAATCAGACTTGGGGTCGGGTCCTCACACCTGCTGCCCGGTGATTCTGACACGGCTCTGTTCAACCAGGCACTGCTGGTGACCAGGCCCAGTGACTGAGGCGGAGAGGAGGAGCTCGGCATGTGTACAAGGCAAACCAGCCTGGGGGAGCACAGACGGGATGTCCCCGGGGCACTCAGTCAAGAGAGGGGCCTGTCCTGCGGCTCAGTGAGTGTCATGTCCAGGCTGCAGGCAGCCAGAGAAGAGGGCACCTCAGGGACCGGTCAGGCACCAGCCTGGCAGGGAAAGAGCTGGAATCCATACCTCGGTCTGGAGGGTGCCCCCTGACGGCCCCACGGGAGGGTCCGGCACACCCTACATGAAACAGCACTATGGCACTCACAGTGAGCCATGTCACCCAGTCCCACCCTCTACAAACCTTCCCCAGCTGGGCTGTCAGTGGGCTGCCAGGGCTTCTTCCTGCTGATGCTAACTGGTATCCCAGAGATCTGGACAATCTCTCTTCCAATGTTTGCCAGGGCACCCTCCAGGCCAGATGGGTTTCCTGTATGCTCACTGGTTTAGACCTCAAAACCGCAAAAATGAACTCCAGGGAGTATGCAAAAGGGACATATCAGAGGGGCATTAACGGATTTACTTTTTTATGTTGCTTTTGTAAGGAAGTAACTTTGTCTCTTGAAGATATTTAAAAGAAACTCAGCCTCCCCATTATTCTACACAGAATTTCTTTCTTTCCTGCTCTGATTCATACTGTCTTCCAAAAACATGTGTTCCTGTTCCCAACACCTGATCCTGAAGAGCTGGTAACACTCTGTCTCTGGTGAAGCCTCTCACTGCCCCTGCACACTGGCTTGTACCAGTTCTGTATGAATAAATAAATCTTTAAAAAAATCTCATAAAATTCCTCTGTCACAGAGAGAAGAGGAGACAAGCAAAGGAAGTCTCTGCTTTTAAGATGAAGTCTACAAATACTTAAGAAGGGTGTGTGCCCATGGAAGAAACCAGAGAAAACCATAATAGAAAAGAATGCCCGTATGCCACTCGGGAAGATCATCGCTGCACTTCAGCATGGTACGGAGCTAGTTCTCAACCTGTGTCTCATCCTGGAGGGTCTGCTGACCACTCACTGAAGGCCTGTTGTGTGCAAGGCACTGTGTCCTTAGGTGCCAGTCCCAGCACCACGGACCGCAATGTGAGGGAGTGGGGAGGGGGCAGTAACAGGAAATGATAAAGGACGGCTGCCTGTGTGGACACACAGCCACCAGCCTCTCAGCTCTGGACGCCCGCAGAGTCCCTCCCTCCCTCTGCTCTCAGGCCCAGGTTGCAATTTCCCATGACTATGAAGCCACCCCCACGCATTGCTTAGCCTTACTTTCAAATAACATTTTATCCCTACTGAAAATAGAATGTAAGCATTTACACAGCAGGAAATACAAAGAACTTAACAGAGGAAATTAAAAATCCCTCAGAATCGCAGTGATAACTACCATTTGGATATTTATTCAAAACCAAATTTCCCAGAGGCAAACAGGCTT